AGAGAGAGAGAGGTCTCATTCTTCTCTCACTACAATAAGTAAGCCTACACTATTACTACAGTAAGCCTACATGAGCCCTAAAGCAGGACAGATGTGACTGGGCAAAAACCTGTCAGTTTCAGGTTTAGCTTTGTCCGTGTCTTTCTCTCTATGCCACTTCGTTACTTTCACAGGCACACAGATCCCCACACCCCCTGGCACAAACAGGTGCCAAAGTAAAAGACGTGAAATTAAACTCCGCATGCTTATTAAAGTTTCCTTCAACTGCCCTTCCTCCCTGAAGGCCCATCCAAGACGAGCACTGCTAAGTCTTCAGTGCTTCGCTGCACCCCCCAGCTAAGATTCATGCTAGGGTCAGGGCTCATCAGGGATAAGCAGAGTGCCCTTTCTCTCCCGACAATACAACACTGCCTTCAGGTAAGCGAAAGCTCCAACGTGCTCGCCCAGTCTCATTTTTGGGTTGTATGGAATCTACAGTTAATACTCACACTTGGCAAGACACTACAGTAATATTTAACCACTTATTATTTGGATATATGCATTTTAGTGCCTTACTACAAGTCTAATTTACTGACATACTTCAACTTCAATTCAATAGATGTATGCCAGTAAAGTTCTACATCATCAGAGTCGCACGATGCAGACGCATTTTAATTTAATTGCCTGTGTGGCTGATTCAAAGGATTAAATTAGTTTTCATGCCCCTGAGATTTCAGGGGGTTCTTCTTGTGTAAAAATGTGGAGATATCAGTTTAAAACAAGCACATTCATCAATCCAGAAACACAAAAAAACATTTTTCTGCCAAGTGTGATAGGATCAGACATGAATTTGAAGGTGAAATACTATAGTTACAAAGAGTCAGACTTACTATATCGAAGCTCCAAGAAGCGCCAAATCGCACATAGCTAAGTCACGCCTGTTTTCAGGAAACCCTCCCCCTTATGCGCAAATAAGTCTGGACTTAAGTCTGTGATGTGAATGCCAATGTGTGCGATTTCTGTATTACCTCCTCCGTACAAGCGCTTCACTCGACTCTGAATACGGCCCAAAATGATCAGCTATTCCCCTGAAACCATAACAGTACTAAGGAGAGTTCTAGCATGTCGGAATGAAAAACAAGTTTGTAATGTACTTAGTTGGCAAGGAATATTATCCTCTTAAATCTCAGCTTTATTATTCAGTCATCTCCAGCATATCATTTAGTAACTACTATAAATTATTCAGTAACTAAAACACTAAACCTAACAGAAAAAGCTTGAAGTTATGAGTGAGTAATGTACATTTGGAACCACCAAAGGGTTCTGAATTGAACCAAATGAACACCACTAGTGGCTAACAGGTGGCGCTCTCACAGCCGTAGCCCAGGTTCGATTCACGGTTAGTAAGCTATAAAAAGTGTTCTATATGAACACCAATTTAAGTGAACTTAACAATTTAAGTACAGTCTACATGAGCACCCAGTTAAGTGAACTTAAATATACAAGTTTCGGGAGATCCCACTACTCAGTTAAATTAAAGGAACGTGTTTACTCAGCCAATTGAGTACAGTCAACTTGATAGGGTTTTCAGCATGGCAGCAACAAAATAAAAAACTGCTTGTCCCAGATAGGGGACCAAAATGTGTGTAACCAAAATGTGTGTAACCAAAATGTGCAATATCTTTCATCACATACGAACACAGTAAAAAAAAAAATACTGTCGATTTTACAGTAATTTAGTGGCAACCTGGGTTGCCAGTAAAGTATTGTAATATTTAAAGTAAACAACTGTAAAACGTATTTACAGAAAGTACTGTAATATCATACACAGTATAAAATAACACATAGTCCAGTATGTTGATGCAGGATACAGCTGAGCTGAAGGGTCTTGCTCAAGGATCCAATCAAGGCAGTTTGATGGTGCTGGGATTTGAACACATGACCTTCTTATCTGCAGCTCGAAGCCATAACCACTGAGCTACCACAGTTAGCACAGTTAGCTTGCACTGATTCAATGCAACCTTTTAGTGGGATTGATTCCATGCTAGTAGTAGTTCAATCAACGCAAGCTATTTGCAGTGATGTTGTAGTGCATTTGCGGTGGCCCAGTAGTTGATTAAAGTGGTTGACCACCTCAGAAGGTTCTGTGTTCGAATCCCAGTACAGCCAAGCTGTCATGGTTGGACAAGACCTGTCACCTTCAACTCTGTTGTATCCTGCGTCAGTCAAATGAGCAAGTGTGCTGGGTTGTGTGTCATTTTATACTACATTAAGATATTACAGTACTTTATTGTAAATATATTTTACAGTTATTTACTGTAACTTTTACAGTACTTTACTGGCAACCCAAATTGCCATTAAATCACTGTAAAATTTACGGCAACTTATTACAGTGTATTCTTTTAAGCCTGAGAAGATTTACAGAATAAACAATGAACTGTGACTCAATTAATGTGCGGCGAGCACAAAATAAATGAGGGACTGAGGTGACAAGAGCAGAGCCAGTGGGAGGAAAGAGTGTGTTGGAAACTTTGTAAGGCATTAAGTCTTTCTTTAAATCAGAGAAACAGACAAAGAGGCAGAAAGAAGCATGAAAGTTGTTCAGGATTAGCTGTAAAGCAGAAGCAGTGTTTGGTCTAACACAACACAGTGAGCAGAATGATGAGATTTAGCTGCTCAGGCCACAGGACAAGCCACATGTGTAACGCTTCCAGAGCTTTTTCTTCTTCTGAGCCATTCAGCAAAAACAGTTACAAATATAGAGCTGCATGTTGACAACTGAATGACCACCGCTACCATTTTGAATTGTTCTCATGCTAGAAGCGCATCATATATGCATCACCTCCAGGAGCAAAGGAGAAGAGCCCCTTCTCTCACACACACTCTCTCTCTCTCTCTCTCTCTCTCTCTCACACACAAACACACACACACACTCTCATGCAAACAAAATCGAAGTTCTGAGTTTAAATAGACCTCTAAATGTGCTTTTAGCCTCATTAAAAGCAAACACACCCCCATTCCCTCTGATTTGTGACCTAACACGCACCGTCGCTAATCATCCGCCCTTCATCTCATTAAATATTCATGAGCTTATTAAAATGCAGATACATAGCAAGTGATGGGAGGATCTCTGACCCTCCTCTTAAACAGCCATAAATTATTAACACATTATTTGTAGGTATACACCCCCCTTACCCCTCTGGAATGTGCTAAGCCGGATAAATTATGCAACGTTTGGGAACAGTCCTGTAGTCGCACTGATTCAGAAGTTGTTAAACAATTAATCAGCAGTAAATGGTATTAGATGTGGGACCTGATGGCCTCCTCCTCCTCATGCAAAGTAAAAACTATGGCAGTTTGTGCTCCGCCATCAGCAATCTAGGGAATTTGCATGTCAGCCCACAGCCATTTCAATCCTATAAACCTCAACCACACTGAGCAGCATTCATGTAACACGAGCTTTAAGATGTACGGCTTTGAATGCACTGCCAGGAACACAAACCAGTGATTCATGTGGGCTTTCTAACAGGAGCTTGAGGATCTTTGGCATTTGGCTTGGCACGGCTGCGTCGATTGTGGAGACGGACAGTCGCACACAGACATGTGCATGCTATAAAAGCCTCTTTCACAGATGCACTTTAAGGCATTAATTTACTGATAATTCATAAGAAAGTGGTCACAGAAGTGTCAATATTGCCAAGAAGTAAATCCTAGCAGGCAGAGAGAAATACAGAAATTTACCACAAAAACCCTAGCGCATAACTTTGGATGAGACAGCTCCATGCTAACAGCATAAATGATATAACATGCTGGCTAAAATGTTACATAACTGCAATCTGTAGACATTTTGCAACCAGCTAAGTGTATAAGCTTACTTCAAACAAAGGAGTCTTGTCTGCTCAAATAGGAACACAATATATTTAATAATTTAAGATAAGAAATTTTAAGTACAGACTACATAATGAACGAGGTGAAACTGCAACACAGCACCGTACTCCCTTTGCAGCATCTGATGACAGAAATGCACAACAATATATATATATATATTTTTTAGATAAAACAAATAAGGCATATTAAACCTACTTCCATACATTTAGCCAATTTTACATTCTCCCACTCAGATCCAGTCTTTTTTAGATTAATTGATCATGTGATACCATCAAGCTGATCATATCAACAATCTCTCAGGTAACCACCATTCCAGATTTTTGCTACCTGCATTTTTTTTTTTTTTTAAACCAACCAGTGTTTTCTATTGGCTCACAAGAGCAAGGTCTGTGAATTTACTGGTCAAAGTATTCCTAAATAAATTTGGCAATTATTGCAAGTTGGAAATTATTATGAGGCTTCATTCGAACAGAACTCAATAAATTACCAGGATAAAGGCTGATTATTTATCCTACGATGGACTGACAGCTTTTGAAGCAAGTAACTTAAAACATTAACACAGCGAAGCAACGATAGGAGGAAAAGTCTGAAGAATAACAGGAGAAATATCTAAAAACTGAAGAGATGCAGAAATTTGTGCCAAGGACACCATCCTTCAACAGAACAATGCTCAGCACAGCCATTATACAGTCAAGTATACAGTCAGCAATTATTCTGGGAAGACTGTAGAATAAAAAAAATAATAATAAACAAACTCAAGTGTTTTAAGTGTAGATTCAACCAAATCTGTTCATTCCTTTTATACCACATCCTTGATGTAACGTGGACCTTCATGCATCCCCATAAAATACCAGCTGAAGGCTGCGGGTTTGAATGTTTGGGACTTTAAATATTACCAGCAAAGGTATTCTAATAATGTCCTGGGTTTTAAGTGTGAAAGTACTAAAAATAACAGTGTGTGCACTGAAAGGCAGCCACAATTTTCAGTACTTGAGTCAAAGACAGCAGCCTGGGTTTGGCGTCTGTTTGAGAATGTAATGTTCCACTTAGAGTGTTTTGCAGCCTGGTAATGTGCTAAAAGCACAATCCTGCAGAAATAACCTGGCCAAGCAATGGAAATTCTTTATAAAAAGAAATTTATTTTGCATATAAAAAAAAAAAAAAATGAATGACTAAATAAATATACAAAGTGTCCATATAATGACAGAGACAGGGAGGATGACTCGTCTAGTCTGTCTGTTCCAGAGAGAAAGGATCAGAGCTATGAGGAGTCATGTGACACACAGTAGGGTTTTGCGTTTTTACACATCTGGTTTTCAGAGATGAACTCAGATGCACACTGCGTTTAAAATCAGCAGAGCCTATCCACCAGCCACAAGCTCCTTAAAACATCCTGACAATCTGCTGTGTATCCCAGTGAAGGAGGCGTGGCCGCTATGTCTGTGTCCCAGTGAAGGAGGCGTGGCCGCTATGTCTGTGTCCCAGTGAAGGAGGCGTGGTCTCTATGCTTGTATCTGCTGTAAGAAGAGGTGGATGAATCACTAGTCTGGAAGCCTGGAACAAGCATATTATATGTCCAGATGTGTCCAGGGTCTGTATTTATAGCAAAAGCAGTCCGACTTTATTATTTTTTTTTCTTTCATTCACCAACCAGAGAATAATGCCCTATTTACCTTCACAGAGCAATATTATCTGATACGTACATATAAATATAACACACTCTAGTTGGTTAATATTTCCTGGTGGTGCGACGCACTGTATTTAGGACTACTTCTGCTGACTGCACACACACACACACACACACACACACACACACGCACACACACACACACACACACACACGCACACACACACGCACACCACATTCTGGCCATCAATAAAAATATTTTTCACAAGGAGAGAAAACTACAGCCCATAGCCTAAACGTTAATAAACTTACTGCTGTTGTTCTGAGGGCGACAGCACAATATGCTACATCAAAATATTATCAGGAGAGAATAAGGCAGGTGTTGTCCTTTCCCAGAGGGTTCCAGTACCCTTTTTTTCATTAACCTGTATTACTGTATTATGGGCAGTATTGGCCTAATGGTTAAGGCTCTGGGTTACTGATCAGAAGGTCGGGGCTTCAAGCCCCAGCTGCGGCTGTTGGACCCTTAAGCAAGGCCTTTAACCACATCTGCTCCAGGGCCACTGTATCATGGTTGTCCCTGCGCTCTGACTCCAGCTTCCTAGAAAGCTGGGATATGCGAAAACTGCATTTCCTTGGCTCTGTACTCGTACTCTGGACAATGACAAAGTTGAATCTTAATCTTAATTACTTCACTTAACTAGCTATCTTGTTTGTCCTACATTGGAGATAAATTCTGTTGGTTTTTACCAAACGTGAGCCTGGGCAGGTACACTGGAGCTTCTCCATGCGCCATGGGCTAGCTAATGAATTTATGATTTGTTCATCCCCATAAGTATTTCATATTTGTGGCATGACTCATATTCTGAGAGGTCAAGTACAACATTTTTTCCTTTCTTTCTCCATTTGTGTGCACAAAGACAGGTTCCCTTTTCTCAGAACTCAGTTTCAAATCCTCACTGTCTACTCCATGCCTACGATGTGACAGAGACAGAGAGTCCGAATGCCCTTAACGACATTAAAATACATTTCGCTTCCAGTCCAGAGCTCATCAAACTGGTGGTCCAAACACGAAGATAGAAGACTTTACACCAGTGAGTCAACAGAGCGGGAGTGAAAGGTGTAAAAGGGTGGAGAGTAAAGATGTAGGCTATGCAACAAGAAAAGAGCAAAGAATGGGTGCGAGAGATAAAAGCTCGGCAGATCATTTCATCTTCAAGCCCAGCAGACATTCCACTAAAAAGCACCCGGCTCATGTGGCTCACACAGCGCTATGTTCCAGACACAAAAGGAAAAACAGGACAGTGTGTTTCAGACAGAAAACACACACAGCTCCAGAAATGGGCCATCAATGGTGTTTTCCATTCGTACTCAGAATCATTACTCTAGTTTTAGGAAACAACCAGGATGTTAGTACTTTTGTGGCCACAATATGACCTGAATATAGGGATTCAGTTTATAAGAAATTAAGCTCTTAATCATTATATGGCCTCAGCATATCTCCAAACCGCAATGAGACATGAAGACCATGTGGCTGTGTGTAGCTTTTAGATAAGAAACATTAATTGCCTGAAAGTGCCATGAGGATCAACAAGTAAGTAAGTTTGAGAAGCAAATTATTTTAGGATTTGTGCATGATGAACTAGAGTCTAATCCATATAAGTGAACGGCTCATAATTTAATGCCTCGAATCAATGAACAGTGGCTACGTTTACATGCTCATCAAATTCTGTTTACTGTCTATGTTCAGGTATTCTTAATACGATGTTTATATGCGTACAGACATCGTAATATTCCTGTATACATGGTTGCTGTAAGTATGTCTGAGTTGCCATTCCTAAATACCTAGCCTACAGCTAAGCATGTTAGGAGCCACAATTCCTTGCGGACTGAGCACGCGCATATATCTCCTTTCAGTGGATTTTCTGAATATGATGTTTACATGCAACAAATTTCCAATTAAAACAGGCATATTCCAGGGGTGGGAATCAGAATATTGTCTTAATCTGAATCAGGCAATTGGATTGCAGCGTTCACAGGCAAGACTCAATACTAATATCATGTAAATGTAGCCAGTGATATCTATCATAAATAATCACACTCCTTGATTCATCTTCAGTAACTGCCTTATCCTGGTTAGAGTCTGGATGGCACCAGGTCTAACTCAAGCTAATTTTACACTTGACTGCCCCTAATTTATGAAAATATGTAATAAAACACAAAATATAGTTGGTGTGATGCAGCCTGATGTGAAGCAAAGTGTTGTTACCCCTCCAAAGTTGATTATTTTCCTATAACAGCATGTCCCCAAGTGTTTTATTCCTTTTATACCACAGCAATTTGCCAACAATTATTTTATTTTATTTATTAAAAAGCAACATATTGTACTTTTTATCCATTTAGAATTATGTCTTATGTTGTACATCAGTGAAACAAGCTGGTACCCGATATCACTTATGCTACAGTCATTCTTTCACCCTCCTCTCTTTTTTCCCCCTCTCTCAAAGTTAAAAAGACGATACACTTTCTGTCACAACAAACTTAAAGTTACAGCTTTACCGCTGACAGTTACAAAGCGATGACACTGAAGATTCCTTCCAAAAATGCTAAATAAACTTCCCCCTTACAGAAAACGTCACTACAGCAATAATTACACACTTTTTAAAAAAATCTGTTTATGTGGAGCATCTGCCTTACATAATGTATTAGAACAAATGCATTAACATAAAACTGTGATTTGCCTTGCATGAGGCACTGCTGTCAGAGCTGGTGTTATAGAATACTGACAAACACATTCTGACCAATTCAGGGGCGGATTAAGGTTTACACAGGCCCCTAGGCTCAGGGATTTCAAGAGTCCCCCTAACGCCTTTCCTACCAGAACCTAAACACACTCCCACTGCTAACTCCCCCACTGAGTTTTATGAATCATTTTCTTAGACAAGTGAATTTCCGGAAAGGCTACCAGGAAAGCTAGGTAACCACATTCATTAAATTCATTCACATTACACACATTCATGCATTACATTACATGAATCATGAATCACTATTACTGTCGGTCGTTTAACGTTTCTATCGTAAAACAGTTGACAAATATTAAATTTTAGCTACTTATCTTGCATCTTACCTCGCACTCTTTCACCGTTAAAACTGAAGTGTCGTGCGCAGCTTCTGTGAACAGTAAAGCCCGCCTTCTTTGATTTGATTGGCCATCATAAAACATTTTGAAATTGACCAGCGTTGCTAGACCTATCCTAAAAAATGTCACTTTTTGTCATCCTGACAACATACATAGCGGTGCATAATGGAGTACAGCAGAGTAGCATCAAAAAATACCAAATACTGTGGGTGACAATTTGGCCAGATCTGATTATTGGGGAGGTCGTGTCCCTCTCAGTGTCTATGGTGGTTACGGCCCTGTAGCTGTTGTCTGTAGGTTAATGAGGTTACAATTGATATCGACGTAGGGAGGGGCGACATTAACCCATCATGCACACAGCATGCTCGTCAACTGCTTGTTATAACAAAACATCCGTCCAGTAACGCTAGCAATTAGCCTACTACTGTAGAAATAATAATTATGGATCAATCAAATACATGTGTGGGATCTGATAAGGCGATTTAAAAAAATACATAAAGTAAAAAACTGAACAGAGGCCCTCTGATCACTGTGGGCCCCTAGGCTACAGCCTAGGTTAGCCTGTGCATTAATCTGCCCCTGAACCAATCAGAACTGAGAATTCAAGAGCGCTGTGGTGTAAAAATCATCAATCACCTGTGCAGCTGTATTATTACAGCATCTTTTATAAACACAGGGACTTGTAAGGTGTTTATGCACAGCAAATAATCAGTGCTTACTCTCAGCTGTAATGAACTGCACATAATCAATTGTATTGGTGCTACCTCGCACATCTCCATCCCTATCCACACTTTCTGACGGAAAAAAGGATCTAGTTCCAATGCACTAAAGATAACTGGAGGTGAAGTGTGGAGGCAGCTGCTGCAGTGTGGAGACAGAAGGTTCAGCAACAGAGGCAGACCCACCATTCAGGCTCCCCGCAGGGCCACGGTCAGCGCACTGCTGCCTAATCTGATTATAAGCACTGCCTCCAGGCCACAGAGTGCAAAGAGAACGAGCTAAAACACAGTGGCGATGAGCTCTTTCACGATGTGAGCTGTCAAACTGCTGTCCAGTAATGAGTTTGATAATTATACAGCCTTTGCCTATTGTCTGAAAAGCTGTCGAATGAAGCATCTGCTCTGTAGGTGAATTTATATATACTGGAGTAGTATGTAATGGACAACATTAGTTTGCACATTATTTGATAAGGTAAATGGGTTACGGACCATCCTGAACAGCAATTCTCATATCGTGGCCTTGCTGAGAGACCATAACTGGTTTGAAGCGAAGAGCCACTAGAGAGTAGTGGTTAGATTAGATAGCCTCAATCAATGCTTGTCATTCCAGTATCCAATCACAGCAGCCTCCTCTCTCCAAGCCCATCCCGACACACACACACACACACACACACACACACACACACACACACACACACACACACAGAGAGAGAGAGAGAGCTCAGAGCTACTGGCAACCACCATCCCACTGGAGATGACAAAATATATATCATTATTACCATTTGCATCTACATCATTCATCATTACTGACATCTAGATAATCAGCGCACAGCCAGAGGGCTTGAAAGAGAGCAAATGGCCACCACAACAGAAGAAGAATAAAAGATCACGATGTTCCCATAATGCACAATATTTCAGTTTAGAAAAGTTCAACAAAAATCAATTAAGAAGTTAAAACATCAGTAAATGACAACACCAGCTATGTACGTTTCAACAAATAGCAGACATTCATATCATGGAGCTGAATCATGACGTAGTGGAATATTAGCAGCATGGGGCAGGAAGAGCAGAATCAGCCGGAGGAGAGATTCAGCCAGATTGAGAGAGATGCTCAGCCACAAGGACAAGGACACATCACAAGTGGTTAAACAGAGGCAGAGGCAAGCAGACACACAAAGAGACACACAAACACAGACAGACATACACACATACACACACAGACACACACACATTTTCTGCGTGTCTCTCTCACTGTCCCACTCAAGAAAGCCCCAGCTGGCAGGCCACTGTCCTCCCTCTTCCCAGCAGAAGCCTTGGGACTTGAGCATTGTGCATGATCAACCTGACTGACCTCCAGAATTGAGCAATTTGCAGTTACAATTCCACATACACACCTCCCTCCTGCTGTGTTGTCATATAAAGAGGAGTGAAGCAGCCAGGCAAATAACAGCAAAGGATGACATTTCATGTCATGCAATATTTCATCCATACAAATTAACCCTCGGGCAGACATTAACGCAATCTATGCAAGGCTTGAAGCACAGAGTACTGATGTGGAACATGACCGTAACAGGTGAACAGGCGAATCATGTGACCGGGTCAGCCGTCCATATGTTGGTGGACAGACAGCAGGAGCAGTGGTGTTCCGGAGGCCTG